TTGCTGAATAGATGCTCCAATGGACTTATCAAAAGCGTCACACATTAGTGCAAGTGTTGCCTTAGAATCAGGATGGGCAAGAAAAGTTTCATTTTTTAGCTCTTCTTTGCACTGAGTAAAAGCATTTCTGACTCCTTTGACCATACTGAAGGAGTCATGTCATTTTTCTATGTGACACTTAACATTCCACTTAAAACTAATTGTTTCTTAGCAGCTCGAGGAAAAAATCTTCTGTAAAAGTTATTAATGCCATGGAATCTATGAAATTCATTAACAGTTGAAGGTTTGGGAAAATTCTCAATTATTCGAACATTTTCAGGAAGTTGAGTACGGTTTTGGTTGGATACAGTTTTGGTCAATGAAGTGATCCAAAAATGTAGCTTTGTCAGTAGCAAATACGCACTTAGATAAATTTACCTTTAAATTATGTGTGTGCAACCTACGGAGTACTTCATCTAGGTGTAACAAATGCTCTTCAATAGAGGAAGAAGCGATGAGTATGTCATCAATGTATACAAAACAGAAGTTCAAATCCTGAAGGATGTGATCAAGAAGTCTCTGCATTGTTTGGGTTGCATTTCTTAAACCAAAGGTCATGGAGTTATATTCAAATAAACCGAAGGGAGTTATGATAGCAGTGTTCTTTATATCGTCCTTATGCTTTTTTTAAAACCAAAGTGGAAAAGAAAGTTTTTCCATACAAATTCGAGAAAAAATCATGTAAGTGTAGTATGGGGTAATTACACGGCACTGTCCTTGCATTTAATGCCAGAAAATTCCCAGAAGATCTCTAAGATCCATCTGATTTTTCAACTAAATGTAGTGGACTACTCCAACAACTATTAGAAGGGCTGCAAATCCCTTTCTGGACCAAAACAGAAAATTCAGCTTTAGCTGCTTCTAGCTTGTCAGCAGATAATCGTCTAGCTTTAGCTGCCACAGGAGGTTCCTTAGTCCTAATAACATGAGTGGTGTCGTGAGTTTGAGTTTTGTTTGGCGTATATTCAATATCATCAAATACGGTATTGTATTTTTCGATGAGGCAATCAAGTTCAAAGGAAGATTTTAAAGTAGTTATGCTAGGTAAACTGTCTGTACTACCTCGAGTTGAAACTGATGTTAATCTGTCAATCAAACATTTTTGCATTAATTCGACAAGTGTACCATAGTTTGACAAAAAATCTGCACTCAAAATGGGTCTGGAAACATCAGCTACCGTAAAAGTCCAGTTGAAAAGACGACGTAAACATATGTCAATAGTTAAAGAACGTTTTCCGTAAAAAGGAATTTTGGATCCATTAGCAGCAACTAAATTTAAAATTGATTCTTGTTTTTTGCTTTCTGCAGCAGATGGTGGTAGGACGGATATATCTGCACCAGTATCTACAAGAAATTTAAGACCTAATGTCTTCTCACACATGAAGCGGCATTTATTTTCTTTGCCATAAACGCCTACCACCAACGACGTCTGGCATCTTAGTTTTACGGCTTTAAAATAAAGGGAGGAATGCATTTGTTGCCCTGTCTCTAAATCGAAAGTGATACCAACACATCCGTGTTTTGCTGTTAGAGCAATCACGACGTCTGTGTTCATCCCTGTTTTGGCAACGACTGCGAAATTTCTATGCTTTGTCGAGTTTTTTACTCAGTTCATTACATGGAGTTTGCATGTATATTATAGTGTCAGATAAACCAATAGTTTCGTTTTCAGACTGCAGTTTCAATTTCACCATAGTAGAGTGAATTTCATTTGAATTCGATACATCAGCAATTTTATCAGCCATCATTGCTAGTTTATTTAACTCGTCAGAAGAAGTACTAAGTATAGCTTGCACCTGTGTTGGCAGTCTTTGCAGTCATAACGATTTCAAAAATTTGTCATCCACACGATCGCCAGCTAAATTATGCAAGTGGCGAAGCAATGCAGATGGGTGTTTATCACCTAAATCATTATCTTGAAGGAGTTTTTTAAGTCGTCTCTCTTCCGAATCACTAAATACTTCAGTATATTTTTTTAAAGTTTTATACATATCATTTACTGGAGGTGAAGTAATAATATCACTTACTTGCGCTAAGATTTCAGTTTCGATTGATGCAACGGCAATATGGTACTTTGTACTGTCTTGTGTTATTCCAATTGAGATTCGACTTGCGAAAACCAAATGACAGGATTATCTTTCCAAAATTGTGGACATTTTACAGCAACTCGAGTCAATTCAGTAGTTCCGGTTTCACTTTCATCACTGCTCGGCATAATTCACAGTTCGTGGTTACCAGTGTAAGTTCGTGTAGTTTGTTTAGAACAGAAGGCGAATTAACTTAGCAATCATCACGAACTCACATAACAAACAAACTTAACAACTTTTATTATGAAATATAACAGATTTGTTGTTGCTGTTGTAGTTCATTTACTTCGCACTTGAGCTGCATAATGGGCTATTGGCAACGGTTTGGGAAGTATCCCTGAAGATGAACCGAAGACCCATCACAATTTTGATCTTCTGCAGAGGGGATGGCACCCCCGTTTCGGTATTCTGACAACCTGCACGCGAGGTGGAGCACTTTACGGTATAACAGTTTAACGAGGACCAATACCGTACACCCTCGGTCCCTACGCAGACTAATCCAAGTGGTCACCCACCCGTGCACTGACCGCAGCCAGTGATGCTTGACTTCTGTGAAGTGCTTAGAACCGTGTCTTAACGATCAGTCCATTGCGGGACAACAGATTTGTAAAAGCGCAAGAAAAGAGAGATTATGTCTTGATACAAAGCAAAGTCGTGAGTAGAACGCGACAGCTGGTAGACGGTTTCAGTGCAGTTAAAGTTTCTTTCGATCGGTGGCTGTAGCTACAGCTGTATCACATATCGAATTAGTTAAAAAAAATTTCTCATATTGAATAAAATTTGTACATGCATCAGCACATTATGCAGAAGGCTTATCGTCAAATTCTTAATCAAATAACGAATCTCTTTAATGGTAATTTATAATAACATATTAATGTAATTTACACCAAAAAAATAATAATTTTCGAATGGTTGCACACCGATTCCAATAAGCTTATTTTGAAATAAAGCGTAATAAGGAAATATCATAGAATTACATTATAATAACACTTTTAGCTTTCAATTTTAAATTTGGAAATCAATCAATATCTAAAACATACTAATATAAACAATAAGTCAATACCTTTAATTTGGGAATACGAAAAGGTTTTACAAGAAAACAATACCCTTGCGACATTTATTAATTTTATGCTAATGACAACCAAAAAATATGGGAAACAGTGAGGGAAAATTGATTTTTACCATGTGGTTTTTTCAATAAAAAAATCGTCTACAAAACGGTTTGACAACAATATGAGACAGCTTTTATTTTGCATCTAAAAATTCAACATTATTTTTTGATTATTACTGTGAATAAAATCATATTATAGAGTCTAACTAGAATTGACAGAGCAGTAAACATATCAAAATGAAGACAATTTTTGATTCATGCTCATAGAAAAACATCAAGGTAAAATTTACCGTGTTTTTGGTTCTACGGGAACATCAAAAAGCTTAGTAATTTTTACTGAAGTGCTTTGGTAATGATTTTGTAAAATTAACAAAGAACTATGCTATAAGTGTGTGATAAATGTGGTAATTTTTTTCATAATATCTTAGAGCATAGCATAAATACAATTCATTCAGTTAAATTAATTAATTTGATTAATTAACCGAATTAATGAATTCGGTTAATCAAATGATTGATTTAAATATTATATATATTCAGATTTAACTAATCAGAACCATGGCTATATTTTTTTTGTCAGAAATGTTATCAAACAGTTAATTTTCCTAAAATGCTTTTCTCCATGTGCCATTTGCAGATTTTTAAGACAGCATTTCAATTTTTTTCACAATATCTAAAGGCATGGTTGAACTTTTTTTCGAAAACATTTTACTTTTAATTTAAGAAACGTAATTTTAATTTTGTTACCCCTTTCTTCTGATTTCTAAAGCTCTTGGGTACCATGTAAACTCTTCATTTATCGATTTTATTCTTTGCAATGATGTGAACACGACATTTATGAGAATAGTCGAAATTCATTATAAAATAAGAGGTTATTTCTGTATTTTTACCGAAATGAATTTACGAAAATAATTTATTAAGTTCTTTTATTTTTTTAAAACCTTTTGCAAAGGCATAGGCAATAAAAAAGCTATTCTCATGCTATTTCGAGAAGAAAAAAAACGTTAAATGTTATTTTTATGGTGCATATTATTAAGCTCATGATTTTGATATTCCAATTAATGTTAAAAGTTCAACTAATAAAAAAATATTTCCTTAAAGAATAATACCCGCACATTGAATGAAAAAGCAATACCATTCAATTAGATAGAATTAAAATATTAATATGAAATATTTTCCAATTAAAATAACGTTAAATAATAGTATTATTTAAATTATTAATGAATGAAAGCTATTTTTTGAAAAGGTTCAAAATAATTATTATAAAATTCTACTCTTAATATTTGATATATTATTAAAATCTGTGTTTATTTTCTAGAATAGGTATCTTTAAATTAAATAAATCTTAAACTGTTCAAATCACATATGGAAGATATTTAGAAAATAGTTAACTTAAATAAACTAATAATGTGTTCTAATAAATGTCTTAATGACACGCAACGCTCTTACTATATCCCTTTTTATTACAGTAAAAAATGGAGTAATGCATGAAAAACTCTGTAAATAGCATAAAGTTAAGAAATCTGCAACTGATTTATTTATTTCTTGATATATTTATTTCTTACACTTGTTAGAATACTAGTCGTTTTTCTTATAAACATTTAAGAAAATATCCGGCAGAATTTTGCATACATTAAAAAAAAAGTATTCAATTATTATAAGCATCGCTACTGATGTCATTATTTAGAAAGATACGTTTACTTTATGAATAATGATCTTGCTTTCAACTTCCTTATTGAATTTATACCATAAATTTAAATTTATAGGAAAGCCATCGCCATCTTTAATATGGTGGAAAAGCAGAAGAATAATAGATGATGGCTTTGAAGTAGTGGGTCATATTACCCGTAACGAGCTTTTCATAGAAAAACTTCAAAGAAGAGATTTGATGGCTACGCTAACGTGCCAGACGACCAACAATATAATATCCCCTCCATTAGAAGCTTCTGTTACTTTAGATATTCAATGTAAGTATATATTAATAATAGGATATTCTGTCATAATGTATAACATAGGAAATTCAATATTTGTCAATGATGTAATATAATGTGAATTTCTAGTTAATGTATTCACTGATGAATTATAGGCTGGAGATTATTTTAAAATAAATATGTAGGAAATAATCATTGCAGTGATTCGGTTTTTAAGCTTATATAAAGTGGATTTGTTCATTTTGTTTGGCATAAGTTTTTTTTTAAAATTTGATCCATATTATTTATTTGATTTTGTTACTCATTGGTGCCCTAAAAATAATCGATGATTTATAGAATCAAATGTAGAAAATCGAAGATGTAAAAATACATGGTTTGGTGCGTTTTGCTTAAGTGACAATATTATTATTATTTGTTCTTCGAAAAAGTGCAAAATTAGTTACAAAGTTTGTCAAATAATGGTTTCTGCTGTATTGATTCCGATAGAAATGATTTCACGGTCCTTTGGTAATTTTGTCCTCATGCTAAGACACATTGTTCCTGAATATATTAGAAATATATATATTCAGGATATATGTGTTCCTGAATATATTAGATAGTAGACATATGTTTATAGGTAGTTCAGTTCGTTCATTAGTTAGTTAATAATTTTCCTCTGCCATCCTCTTATTTATATATTGCTGACGTAGTTTGTAACTATTTCAGAAAATTGCTGAGAATAAAACCTGGTTTTTTATGTACTATGGAGAAAATCGTATTTTTCTTTAATTAGTTTTTCAAATCGTCTATCAATTTTGGGACCCCTTGCTGCTTATACACTATAATTTAAGAACTTTTGAGATGGATTTGTGAAATGGATGTGGCACAAATAGAACCCTTCACTTACGAGCCCATACCTCAAAATTAAATTTCTCACTTAACTCCGGAAAAGAATTTACTTGATGAAGTGTGGCTATTTTTTTGATGCATTGCATTTGATAATGGTTTTTAAATAATAAAAATCAATTTGAAACAGAAGTGTAAACACTAAAACTACTAGAAAATTTTGGAGTATAAACTATTAAGTTTGTCCCATAATTTGTACTCTTAAAATTACCAGATATAACCAACGATTGGAAATATTTAAATAAAAAGGGAAAGAATAGAAATAAACAGTCCGCTACTTTCCACTAATGCCTTTTTTATCTTCCCCAAATTACAAAACTATTTACTAAGTTTATCAACAGACACTGTTGTTGATTTGAAGTTTCTTCCTCCATGCCGAATTCAAGTGTTAAACCTCCGACTATACCACGCAATTGTTGAAAAAGTTTGTTCTTTTGGAGTTATAGTTTTCTGGTTAGCAGCGCCTTCAGGAGATTAATTACGTGTCTAATATTGGAGTCTTTAGAGCAATACCTTAGCTCTGTATACAGAACTCAACAAATCGTATATTTTGAGGCCCTTCTGTTTCTCTTCAACTGATTTTTCAAATCGTTAAGAAAAGATAAACTATGCACTCTTCCTTTTGTTAATAGAAGACATTTGTATTTTACAGCAATTTAAATAAGAAGAATAAAATTTTTTGTCAAATGCTTGTGTAGACTAATCTCACTAAAATAACGTTTTAATGGATTTTTGAAAGGTTCTGCTTAATTTACAATTTTTAACGTACTTTTACTTAGTTGAAGGCATCTTTCAAAATGTTTGTTGTTAGTTCTAAAGATAAGTATTAAAACACGCAGAAATTAGTTTTATTTTTACAAGATCTATGGAGTTGTGAAAGTTGATAGCACAAGTCACAGAGTGTGAAATGAATTTGGAATGAATGAAAAAATACTGTTGTCATGCGAAATTTAAAAAAACAATAATCGTATGAAACTAGGTGGTACTCATAAAGTTGCCGGAATCCATAATTATCAGTTACATACATAACAAATGGAATGAACGTTTGATTAAAATTATTAGTAATAGGTGTCGTTCGTAGTTTTAAGGTTTTGGAATTTTAAATGAACAGTCTGGAAAATAATCACATGCAGAAAGGCAAAAGCTCGAAGAACAATAATGTAAATTACAGGAAAATTGTTATCATTTAATAAATTTGCTCTTAAAATTTTCGCAATCGATTAAACTTCAGATAATTTGATAGTTATTTGAAAACTATTAATTAATTATTTTTTTTAGATAAACCACTTTCCGTTCACGTTAAAGGAAAAAGGAAGAAACTTTCCGCTAAAAAAACTGTGCAATTTGAGTGTGAAGCCAGAGGTTCTAGACCGCCAGCTGTCATATCATGGCGTAAGGGAAGCTTTAAATTAAAAGATGCTGTCAACAGGGTTTCTGCTCAAGGTAATGTTACAACAAGTATCTTGACAATTACGCCCTCTAGTGATGATAATGGGAAGTTTCTCTACTGTCAAGCTGACAATCCATCGATATCAGGAAGTTCTATTGAAGATGGATGGAAGTTAGATGTTCACTGTAAGTAAATTTAAATATTAATTTGTATTAGGCAAATTGACTCTCTCGAAGGCAGTGATAAAAAATTCGTTTAATCGAAGAAAGGGGGGAGGGGATAAAATTTTCTGGCATTATTATTAATACTGTTATCATTATTATTTTTTAAATTCATCTTTCACTCGTCAATTTGGGAAGAAATATTTGTCCATTAAGGAACTACTTTCTTGTTTGTTTGTTTGACCAATTAATACTTAGAGCGTTAAATTTTGTATCATAATTCAAAATGACACAAGGAAAGGATGAAAAAGGACGAATTTTCTACTACTATTAAACTTTTAACACTATCTATTCTATTTTTCTTAAAGCAATTTATCTTCTACATGTCAATAGTAGAACAAATATAACTATTAATAAAATATGCAAAATGAGCACGCTTTTTAATTTTGTTGAAGCATGGAAGTATTGATACGATTTAAAAGCTTTGCATATTTATCCAAAAGTATTACTGCGCAAACAAATTGTTTGCAACTTTATTTTCTAAAACATAAATGCGGACTGGGTGCTCTTTTTAAGCATGAAGTATGATTAAAATGCAATTTTAAAAGAGATGAGAATTACGGAATTTTAACGTAAAAATGTTAAGAATATTTTTTTAAAGAATTTAATTCAATTTTATATCTAGCGGAAATTAATAATAAAAAGATAGATATTTCCGTAAAACATTTCCTTTTTTATTGGAAATTTAAAACTTTCTTTTAAATCTTATTATATAATAATTTTTGGAGTAAAAGCAATAAATTTTTATCGAATTTGTTATTTATTTGCAAATAAATAAATAACAAAGAGTTTAAAAAAGGAATTAATGGAAGGGTATTATTAGCAATTATGTTAGAGTTTAAATAAATAATTAATATAAGAGTATTATAAACAATAATGTTAGGATTTAAATAAAAAAAATGATAAAAGAGCTCGTCGCAATATTCTACAACATAAAACAATTCAATATAATCTCTAATACAAGGCTGAACCAAATTAGTAACTTAAATGCTACTCATTAGGCTGTTTTAACCTCCTAAATTGGAAACGTGGATTTAGGCTAATTTATTATGGAGGTTATTATGGTTAAGGAGGTGTCCTGCAGAGGACTGATCGCTAAGACACGTTTCCCAGCACATCACCGAAGTCAAGGGCGAGTGGTGTTGCTTTTAGGCAACGGAGTACCTGTGCACTGGGCACGCACCTCCGATCGAAAAATAATGAAAAGTGAAAAATAGGGGGTCTGTTAATCGAGAAGAAAATAAAATAAAATGTAATAAAAGAGGGTGGGGGTAGGTCTAACTGGTAATTTCATCATGTGTATTGTATGGCCGATGACAACCATCACACACCTCATCTTCATTTATTGAAAATTCAAAAAGGGAGGTTACATAGAAGGGGATTACAAGATGATACATTGAAGAGCAAAAAACAAATTCACAGTTTAACAGATGAAAACACTGTAGAAGTGTTTCAATATTCTTGGACAACATAAAAAGACGAAAATATGTACAATAATCTCAATTATGTATAAGAAATCAGCGGGGTAAAAATAATAATATGCAGTAGAAAACACAAAAGTACAGTAGAAAAAATTGTAAATAAAGTAAAACACATCACCGAAGTCAAGCATCACCGGCTGCGGTCAGTGCGCGGGTCTGTGACCACTTGGATCAGGATCAGTCTGCGTAGGGACCGAGGGTGTGTGGTATTGGTCCTCGTTAAATTGTTCTATCATAAAGTGCTCGACTTCGAGTGCAGGTTGTCGGACTACCGAAGCAGGGATGTCATTCGCTCTGCGGAGGATCAAAATTGTGATGGCATGTCTTCGGATCATCCTCAGGGATGTTTCCCAGACCGTCGCCAATAGCCCATTGTGCAGCTCTAGTGCGACGTAAATGAACAACAACAACTTCGTTAAGGAGGTTTTATTTATCCAATTATTGTTACACATATATATGCCTGCTTGTTAGAGATTTGCGAAATTATGCTTACAAGTTCTTGTTAAGTTGAGAACAGACAGCATATTATAGAGAAAGACATCACAAAAATATATCTAGCTACTCGAACCTACAATCTCCAAGCTACAACAGGTGCATCTTTGTAATGTCTTCTTTTTCTTAATTGTTCTATCTGTTATTCAATTTGTGTCATCCTTATATTGGATCATATTTTACAATAAACCTCACAAGACAGCCTATATGTGTAGAACTATAAATCAATAAATATTGGAATAGTAAGAATGGCAGGGACTTTTTGGCCGAGCAGTCTTGCCTTTTTGACCCATGCTATTTAAAATAGCGTATTGTATTGCATATTGTATAGAGTATTGTACATGTATTCGAATTCAACCATAACTCTCAATCGGTAACTATGAATAATGAAATTTGAATTAGCATCATAGGCTAAAGTGGTTTCAAAAAAGGGATTGCCTTATTTTTTCTTTGGAATTGCGCTGACCGGAACAGGAAGCAGCTGTCAAGGAACTTTGACCCCCCTATGATGATGCCCTTGAAAGAGTAGCCAACAAATCTACCCTGTAAATGCTTGAATTAACGAAATGTTAACAAAGATGGGCATGAATAAAAAAGTCTCTGAAATTGAAGAGCATATTGCACAATAATAAGACAAATCTTGATCCCGCAAATCCTCTGCTTGGGAACGCTTAATGCAGTGTTTCTTAACCTTTTTGATGTAATGGACCCCTTTTAAAAAAATTCACGGACCACCCCCCTGTGAAAAAAATAATTGCAAAAAACGTCAATTATTAGAAAACATTTAATTTTATTATTTTAATAGTATACAAAATTTTTAAAATTAAAATTTTTAATGTGAAGGTTGCTACTGCTTTTCCTTACTTAACAAATTGAATTAGAGGATGGTTTTCAACAAAGCAAACGGGCATATCATATTCAACATTCAATCGATTTCGATGTTATGTTTTTTATTGTCACAATTGTGGAAAATCCCGCTTCGCAAAGATACACTGTAGCAAACGGAATTATAGTTGCCATAACTCGCTTTACAAGTAATGGGTAGGCTTCCAAACGTTTTAAAAATTAGGAGTTGTCAGCGAACCCCCAAAACATACACTGTAGCAAACGGAATTATAGTTGCCATAACTCGCTTTACAAGTAATGGGTAGGCTTCCAAACGTTTTAAAAATTAGGAGTTGTCAGCGGACCCCCAAAACATAACTCACGGACCCCTTAGGGGTTCATGAACCACAGGTTAAGAAACCCTGGTTTAATGGAAGGACATACTTCCTCGGACGGACGCACCAATAATGTATGGTTATTTTACTTGCAAAAAAGAAGCATTCTTGCCGTGTGGTATCGCTGTCCCATTAACCACTCTGAAGCGTATCAATCCGCATTAACACTGAATTCTCGCTGACTTTCTCAAATTTGTGTTACCTGTTTTTCAGATCTAAAAATGCTTTTAAGCAACCCTTTACAACAAAACTCCCTTATCTGCGTAAATGAATAAATAAATAAATCTCACTACTTGATGCATGGAAAAATTTGCAACTTTTAACATTTAAAACCATCATTAATATCCTTTTTTTCCTTTGCTGAAATTGAGAATAGATTGGAGAAATTAATTAACAGCCCTCTTACTCCTGCTAACCATATAAATAAACCATCATTTTTAAATAAACCATTGAAATATATTCAGTTTATTAGTATTTTATTTGGTAAAATGCGTGGGCATTAAAATGTTACAATTACTAAATAAATGTCTAAAATGAATGATAGCGCTGAAGAACAATTTGGTAATTTTAACATGATACTTTAGAGAGTGGCATAAAAACCATTTATTCGGTTAAACTTGCTTTTCAGTTTTGTTTTTTTATTAAATTCATGGTAATTAAGAACAATAGTTCAAAACCCAAAATTTTCGGAACGGAAAAATTTCCAAACGAATGATATGTTTTTTTTACAATTATCAGAATTATGTTTTTTATTTATTTATTTTATTATTTTTGCAAGAAATGTTTTTATAAGTATGGTAACTTGACCCCAACTTAACTATATGTTATCCAAATTATATGTTTCATTAATTATATGTTATCTAAAATACCATCTCAAACATTTTTTTCTCAAATACCAATTTGTTTTTTTAAACTAAAATTGAAAATTTGTAAATTACATGCGAAATATAGCTAAGGCAGATTGTGTATTAAATTTTATTGTTTGATTAAAATAAAACCTTTTTTTTTAATTTACTGTATAAAAAAAAGTTCTTACTTTTACATTGGCCTGATATTAGGCATCTTTAAAACTGCCCCACAAAAGCATGAAATTATTCTTTACGATTTGAAACCCAGCCATCTGCATAAAATTTGAGACATATTAAGATCAAGAAATACGAAGAATATCTCTATTTCTGCTAAAAGACTTTCCAGAAAAACACCCATACAAATGAACTGTCAAATCTGGGAAAAGTTTTTATCTTATGATTTTCTTCAAGTCAAATATATATTCACAAGAATTCCACCGTATTTGTCAAGCCTTTCTTGAAATGTTTTCTAATAGTCTCAAAATTCAAAATACTTTGAGTGTCTGACGCTAGCCAAGAACATTTCATTTTATGGAAAGACATTTTCAGGGAAAAAAAAGTGAACTGGTTTGGAGACCGTTTCCACCTTAGAAATCTTCATTTGGCTGTCAGTCTGTCCGGAAATTCAGGATATATTTCTGATGAAATTGGGAACCGAACGATTCCTGACAATAAGTTTTGCAATTTTCTCCCATTTCTGTCGAGATGTTTTTGGACTCTCTAAGTAACGTTTTTTCTTCATTTTAATGTATGGTCGATACAAATTGTGTGAGCTAAATACTGATTTATGCAAACGCTTTTATTTTTATTAGACAAATGATTTGAATGATAAAAATCAATATCACATGGATTTTGCTATCAGGTACAAAATAATACGTGCGAGCAACATGAGTAAGATTTAATTTATGAAAATTCTTTCTGCTTGCAAGTGAGTTTTCAAGTGATAATGATTTTATAAAAAAATATACTACCAATAAAAAATAAATGTATCGTTTGCGTTTTGCATTATTTGATACGCAAACAATAAGTACAACAAATAACTAAGACACAATATGCCTAATACATTTTTTAAAAATTTAGTAGTCATGAACATGCAAAGACGGTAAGTTTTATTACAATTTGAGAAAATGTTCGCGTGGAGAATTTCCCAGAAAACGATTTCGTTAACAACGACAAAAAAGAGTTTTGTTAATTTTGAATATCTACTCTTCACTTTAACAGTCATGAATATTTAATATTAAATAAGAAAACTTTTAAATTTAATCTTCCAATCAAGAGTTAACATATATATTTTGATTTTTAGATGTGCCTCAACTCAATCTCCGACTCGGAAGCAAACTGCGCCATACAAATATTATTGAAGACATGGACGTGTATTTCGAATGTAATGTGAGAGCCAATCCTTGGGTATCAGAATCAGGATGGAGATTCGAAGGCTATCATCTAGAAAACAATGCGAGTGCTGGTGTAGTTATTAGTAATCAATCATTAGTTCTACAAAAAGTAAGCCGAGAACAGAGAGGGCGCTATAGCTGCCTTGCAACCAATAACGAAGGGCAAGGCGAAAGTAATCATGTTTATCTACGGGTACAATGTAAGTAATGCTTTGTTGAATTATCTATTTATTTAATGTGTACAATAATTAGGGATGATTGCTGAATTATATAAATAAAAAAAAAATAGTTTTGCCCAAATTCAATGTAAGAGAAAGTTGGACAATACCAGGCTCCTAAGATTTCTTTTACTTCCTGAAAAATTTCATTTCCCCCATAGGTTAATTTCTTTTTTATTTTTATTTTAGTAATAAAATTGGGTTTCATCTATATTTTAAAAATCTATATAACAAAGAAATTACATACAGGTTTCATCTATACATAAGGAAAACTATATTTTAGAGGATACATTGATGATTTTTTGGAAATATGCTATATAGACCGGTTTTAAAAAAACACGGCTAAAAAAACATGGACACTAAAGAATGTAGTTGCTGTTTATTCTGATTGTTTATTTTTTGCAACAACGAATTTCTATTAAATGACTTAATTTAATATCGTGCGTGACTCGGGGCCTCGTACCAAAAAAATTCATATTAGCATGTTGCTTTCGTGCGGTAGAGGTTGCCCCAGAACAAACTTTAGCTTATGGTACTAACTGTCTGAGAGTAGAAATGAATTATTAATAAATAACGCAACAATACAGACATGATTAACATATTCTTATGCACGGGGGTATACCGGATAGTTTATATACACTAATATTTCATATAATAGTGAAAGAAATTGTAAAAAAAATAAATATATTATCCATCGCATTGATATATTAAAAATATATGCATTTAATGCACTTATACCTTGAATAAGTTTTGAAGAAAATATACTACTTCATTTAATAATAAAAGCGTAGCAAATCTGTTACAAAGTAATAGTTACACCAGGCAACATTTGCTGTAACACGAATACTTCAAATCGAGTTTTAATATGAAATTTTTAAAATAATTTGTTATCTACGCAAAAATTATATTTTAAAGATAAGTTAAAAATTCTTAACTTGTAATTATATTCGTACTTGTAATTATTTACTTTTACATATTCGGAGAAAGTTTATAAATTTTATTATAATCTAGAAAAAAAATTAAGTTATTATTTAAGGAAGTTTATGAAAACAAAATCTTAAGAGAACGAATTAAGCGAATTTATTTTTGTGAATTAAAGAAAACAATAAACTATTTCCAACATGACTTTTAAAGAAATTTGAAAATAAAATATCAACTTCAACAAAATCTATAATTTAAATGAATTAATAATACATTCTTTATTTTGCATACACTTGTATCTTATAAATTATAAAACCAATATTTACGTCTGTTTAAATATGCATATAAATTTAGAATTTATTCATCATTTAAGCTTTTTATGAGAAATATGTATTCAGAAAAAGAGCAATTCAATTCTTTTCAATTCTTTTATTCTTGTATAAATTAAGTAAAAATGATTCCGATGCTCCAACGGTGATCATGAGAATTTCTCACGCTTAATGATCTTAAAACTCATGTTCTTCATTAAATAATTGCATAAAATGAGAAAATGTATTTAGCTTTTCAAAAAAATCTCTTAAGATTTAAGGATTTTATTAGAGAAAAGTTTCAGAATCTTTTTTCCATCGTTAATGCCTGGAATAATTAAAGACGAAGGATAATAAATAAAAGATACTATAATGAACTCTTATTCAGAAACTTACCTTAAAAGAAAATCTTTTCTCGGATCTTAAATGGAGCTGAAGTAATAAAAATAAATTTGAATTAATTGAAATAAAGTTAAACTAATTTAGAAATCTTAAAAAAATTAAAATATTATAAATTTAAAAAATGTTGAACTTTGTCTACGAAAATAATTAAATAAACTAAAATTTTATTGCAATAGTAAAAATCACTTCCAGCTAAGGATTAAACTAAACTAGAACAAAATGTTTTATTTCAGTTTTTCTCAGTTGAAATAATTAGTGGTTTAAAAGTTCATAAAATGCATGTATGAGGTTATATTTCTTAAATGTTTTCAACTGAATGCTTACTCTGTTTTACTTTGTGAAGCTTAAAATACGTTTGGAAACATTTCTTGTTGGACGACGCATTTAGTGTTCGTTTTGAACTTATCAATACACTTCATGTTCATAAATTAAGGACAATTCATAATCACATGGAAGTTAAACTCCATGATACAAACTTCACATGTATAATTAACACGCACAATTTCAAAAAAGAAAAAAAAATGCAAATTTCAGGAAACCACCAGAAGACGCCGCACTGACGAGAATGAAAGAGTGGGGTATGTAAGTAAGGAATGGTTTCAAAAAAGCAAAAAAGTTCGCAAGCATTCTATGAGCCACTCAGAGCCATTGCCGAATAGTTATGACGCAGAAGACACATGTGGATGATTTATTATGTGGTAGAATTATCGGCCGCCTGGAATGTGGCATCAATAGAAGCATTCGAAGAACTTCTCCAAAGATTCATTTCTAGGCTTCAGTAATGATTCCAGGATGATGGAAACATCATTAGACGTTACAATACATGCATTTAGCTCACGCCAACTCACTGTCTGCAGCAAATAGCCTGGAATAGGGAACATGCAATGTGAACATCGCTACAGTAGTCTGATTTCTATTGGACTTTCACATGGAAGATGTCAGGTACCCATTACCAATAAGACAACAAACTTGAACAGCACCATTATGATGTGCAGGATTAGTCATTTGGGATGTAATTATACTGTGCTCCAGAACAGATCTGCATGTTCAGATCGGAACCATAGCTGGCCAAATTTATCGGGACTCCATTCTGGAAAAGCAGGTATGTTTGTTTACAGGGATGTTGTAGGGGCAGAATTTGTGTATACATAATGAACACGTACGTCCTCACTGAGCAATCATCGCAAATGAAAACCTTCAATTTGAAGATATCACCCGTATGGAATGGCCAGCATTCTCAGATGACTCTGATGATAGAGAATGTTTAATGCCGACGAGTTGCAGCCCGTAATATGTACTGGAACGTAGGAGATCATTGCTTGCGAAATTGAGTAAATTCCCCCAAGATCAGTTTAATTGAGCCGTGGTGGCACAGGGGATAGAGCGCTCTCCTCCCAATGAGGTAACCCGGGTCCGATCCCAGCAAAAGCTGATCGATTAAAATTCCGCACCCGGCACGCACCGACCACAGTGCTGACGTAAATTATACTCAGTGGTAGACGGATCATCAGTTAGAGTCCCCTTGCCGTCTGGCTAACCGTGGCAGGTTTTCATGCTTTTTCTCTCCTTGTAACGCAAATGCGGATTAGTTGCATCAAAAAGTCCTCTACGAGAGCAAATTTCATCCAATACTTAATTTAAAAGTATCATTCTTTTCCGGATTGGATTCAAAATTACATGGCTGCGGAGTTAAACATTAGTAGCCGTAAACCCAAAATTGGGTCGGCTGTTCAACGAAGGTTTTGAAATATAAAATAAAAGATCAGCTCGATAATTTAATACTCAGCATGCCTAGGCTACGTACGGACTGTACCTTATCGCATGGGAGACACATAATATGTTAACCATCGTACAAACCATGTAATATTAAGCTTTTTTAAATGAGCTTTGTAACTGCTTAAAAATCATAATTTCTATAAATGGTATAATACCTACACCATCATTTTGGCTCTTTATCTTTCATTTTATAAAAGGTTTTCATGACTGAGAAATGTTTGTTTTATTTCTGAACCTCTTTTTATTCTGGCATTATCTGAAATTTATGTACCTGAGTGCATTTAATAATTTTTCAGAAGAGCATTATGGCAAGTGGGTGTTTTTAATGAATGAAAAATAACATTATCGTCGGCATTCATGCATATTATTAAAGCAAAATAGTCAATTGTGAAGAACTCGTCTTCAGAATAACAACACGCACATGATAAACACTTAGAGGCAGGATAAGTAAGAAAAGAAATTGTTGCCAATAAAAAACCTGGAAAGAGAAACTATTAAAAAAATAAGATAAAATGTAACAGGGGAGAGGCCTATGTTAACTCAAAGTATTAAATCAAGGAAAAATGTATTTCCAAATGCAATTAAGAGTTGAGGCAGCATTGAGATCATTTATTAGATAATCAACTTGTGGGGGAAAACTAACATGAATTAAACTAACATGAGTCATCGAATAATGAAATAAAACTAAATTGCCAAAATGAACTATTTATTAAAAACTTTAAAATAAAAACAGACCTAGCACATACTGGAAATGGCTGGGGCAAGGAACTATGCGCCCTGAAGCTAGCATAAAAGGCTAAAGTAATAGAAATAAAATAAAACCTTGAGGAATTCGACCATTGAAAATTCTAAGGTAAACACGCTATACGAAATCACTAATCCAACTGACAAGCAGACAAAATATTCCAGTTATCAAAAGTTTCAGAGAGCATGCGTTATAAATCAGCAAATAACAAATAAGAAAAGATTACTTCTAACAAGTTATTGTTAAATTATTCATCTACGACTGAACACAAGTTTTAGAGAACAAAAACAAGACTCAAGCTTTTTAACAGCTGATATGTAAGGACTAAAAAGAATGTCTACTTCTTTTTTAGATAAAAAATATTACTGCAAATTCCTATAATTTTATTTACTTAATTAAAATTAGCATTTAAATAAATGTTTTTAGAGTTATATCTAATTAACTTATTTATAATATTAAAATTAAATCCTCCTTTTAGCGTTTATGCTAATAAAGCAGATATTATTCGTTTTTAATATTAACACTCCAAAATCAAAATTAATATTATTGTCATGATAACGAAGTGATACTAATTCCTCGGGGTAAATATTATTTAACAAAATTGCATAATTTTTAAAATTAAAAATAATTAAATCGTCTGTCAGATTAAGCAAATCATGGTTTGAGAGGTTTATCACTTTAGAATAAAAATAATCATATCCAGTGTCGTTTGGCATAATGTTATTGCTCGATGTACTTAGACTCCTGATAGTGAAAGATAACTCAAAACAACAATTTTCTCTTGCACGCTAGAAAACCTGTTTTCACAAAGGCATTTTGATACAAATCGCAGTTTATTTAATACTTATTACTAAACAAAATTTTCACTCTTCCGTGGTCTAAACAAAATTTTCGCTCTTCCCAAGGTCAAGAAAACTGAGATGGGCACAGTAGGCCTTGGCCCTCCATGCGCTGTCGCGCCATTGAATTTAGTTTAGTTTAAACAGAAATTAACTTAACAATAGTAGTACTTTTTACTAAACTTAACTAAACAACATTGTCATTAATAATAAGGCGATGTTTTATGGCTTTTTTTGATGGATAAGTACTCTTTAACCATTGATCTAGCTTTTTAGTACAAAACTTACTTTTTTCTTTCAATTTGCACCTATTACCAAAATTAATTAAGGATCATTTGCACCAATTACAATATGGCAATTTTTTTACGGTTGACGTACGCTAGTAAGCAGCTTCTCTCTCCTAAGTTGATATTTTTGCACAATTTTTTTTCGATTACAACTTGTACCTAATATCTAAAATAATTAGTTGTAATTCTCAAAAATAATTAGTAACGACACTAATATTTTTAAAATAATTTTTGGCAAATGAAGTGATATCTGTACTTATTTTAAATGCCGTAAAATATCATCGAACAACTATTGACGCCAGCCGACCTGAGTGCATATTGTGACAAGGGAGCTGACCTCACATCAGAAAGATTCTGGGTTTGAAACCCAGACAAGTCATGAATGTTCTTTCATTCTCTGTATTATCTACCCTTAATGTTGGAGCAATGTTGGCCCACCTAATAGGGTGCCCTTGAAAGAGTGACCCACAAATTTGCCCTACTGATACTTGAATGACAAGTGTCTATCGGGTGAGCATTGGGAAAAAAATAATGACGTCAGTTATGTTTAATTAAAAGTGGTATTAAATACTTCTGCTATTGTAATTACGTAAGTAATGAAATTGTATTAAACCAAGGTGAATAAAATAGATACCTTGGTAACCGAACATTTACCTAAAATCACCATCCTACATATTCATAGCAACAAATATACAACCTTTATTTTTAGTTTCATTCTGGTGTGGCTTCATAATATTGAATTTACCATAATCTGAGTAAGAAGTTCAACTCACTGAAAAACGGATTATTTATGCATGTAATATCATTTAAATGTGTTTAACAAAATTTGCTTTCCATCACTCAATACATAATTTCCATTCTATTTCATTATTTCTTGACGAGCTTACATTCTCTATGTTTATAGAGCTTTAAAATTGCAAGTATCAGTACCGTAAAGAAAGAAACACCGTAGTTTCAAATATCTTTCAAATTACGAATTCAATGACGTCATCATTACACGTCGTGAAATTATTAACTTCAATTTTACTTGCGATCATCTTATGCATGAAATCAAAGATAAGCAATTCATAAGAACGTGCGTTTAAAACGAATTTTTGATTGATTGCAAGCTAGCAAATCGCCTTAATATTTATAATATCTTATACTCAGCTCATTGCTTGAGTTGTAACACGCGAAATGATGGTCATAGGTAGCTTTACATTATATATATATATATATATATATATATATTTGTTATCCTCACTTAATTTATGATTAAAGTTTAAAAATTTCTACTAATCGTTTTTGAATTTTAAACACATGATCATTTTCATGCAAGTAAGGGAAAAAAACTGTACTTCTCTCATTTCTTTTACAGATTCCCCAGTTTGTAAGATCGATCGCGTGACTACGCTTACCACAATGATAAATCAACCTGTTAAGATAACTTGCGAAGTGGAAGCTGATCCTGATGAAGTTGATTTCAGGTGGGAATTTAACGGTACTTCACCAGGTGGCGATATGCACGTAGTCTCAGTTCCTGGATCTACAACAAGTAGCTTGCTTACATATAATCCTAAATCTGAAACCGACTTCGGGCATATTTATTGCTGGGGCACGAACAGCGTTGGAACGCAAAATACTCCTTGTATATACTTCATCGATATAACAGGTATTATTTGTAGTTCTTTTTTAGTCTCTCTTATTAAGGAGATGTACTTTCTACCGTTCTAGATTAAATGAAAAAACACCTACGCAATATTCCTAACCCGTTTCTTTGTATTGAAGTTCAAATGATTTATTCTCATCAATTGTCATGCAACAAGATATTTCCCAGAGAAATGCGTTGTTAAACTATCATGAAATATATTGCAAAAAAGTACAAAACATAAAGGAAAGAAAACATAGAAATATTATTTCGTCAACTAAATTCACGACGTTTTTTTTTTTTTAATTTTTAAGAATTTAAAATATGTGAGCAATCTATTTTTTGTACTAGATTCCTTGTCGGTTGAGGGGAATTTTCGTACTATAGTTGGATTAATCACCCTTTATTTAACTCAATTGATGACCTAAGCGGGGTGCGTCTTTGAGATACAAATTTTAAGTTTTAATTTTGACATAGCAAAAACGATCGGTAATCTCAGCAGTTATTATTATATTATTTTATTTTAATATGGCGCACTTTCCATGCATCAAGCTTATGTCACGAGCAGCCATTGAATCTTGATTACAAGCAAAAAGGAAGTGTCGAAAATCCTCATTTTTCACAACTTGAAATTTTATTGTAACTATTGAAAATTTGGAAAGTGCTCATAGATTAACATGGACCTGTTGAACAAAACATTTTTCAAAGGATCTGCAACGTTTTGCCAAAAACATTTATTGACATGCGGAATGTTTCAATATAATGCCAACATAATGTATTGATTAAATAAACTGAAATAAAAGTCAAAATTTTTAGAACAAACAATACAAACTAATATGCGATTGGCGGAACTCAAATAAACATGTTATCAAAATTACAGAAGTATTGCTTGAGAAGATAAACAGTTAGTAACTGTTATGTAATGTAATTAACTGAAGCTAATGTAGTTTTCAATTTGTATAATGATTTTCTTGTGTTTATATACATTTAAAAAAAATAACCTGATTTCACGCTTGTACTTTTTTATTGACTTTTTTATTGGCAATACCTTGTATTTTAAAATTGTTAATAAGTTAAGTAATTATTTTAATTTCAAAACATATGAACCAACATTTTTTCAGCTGTTAGCAGTACCCTGGTATTCCTATTTGCAATCAACAAAATCAAAACATCTTCTAAATAACTAAAATCATCAGTACAGTTTTATTCAAAAATAAAAATTACTCATTATGTAAACTGGAGGAAGTTATCAATATTTATAAACATGCCCTGAATTATATGTGCCGAAATTCGTTAAACTTGTAGACTTGTGTTAGGGTACCAAATTCTAATAAGCAGATAATAAGCAGCTTTAAAAGGCGGAATTCAAATAAGCTTTTATGAACCATATGTTTACAATATTATTTATAAAATTATGTTTTATTAATTGAGGTAAAAAATTATTTCATAAAGCTAAATCAATATTTTTCCACGTTATAATTTATACGAAACAACAGTATTAGAAATTTCTCAAAAAAATCGTTAAATAACAACTTATTTAATTGTTATTTTATTATATTCAAACAAAACAGTCGAATAAACATAAATAAGATCGTATTCAAACTGTTAGTTGCGAAAAAAACCGTTTATTAACTGCTTTCAACTAATACTGCTAAAACACCGGAATTTTATCTCACCAACTTAATCCACCTCATGAAGCCACTTTGTTCATAGCAGATGGGTTTATATTGTAGCCGAGAGCGCTAATCAGTCCAGCCGATGACCGACAAAAGGGTTCGAGTCCCTGCGTTGACACTGCAATATTTCCTCCATTACCATCAACGCATTAAGAGTTTTCAGTGCTCTGCACTCCCCAATCTGTGCTTCTAGGCTCTAAGAATACGATACTGTTATCCACACAGAGATGGTTGCACCATAAAGAAGCTAAACTATCTCTAATGTACAGCTGAACTTATTTTTTACGGTTTTGATACCGTGTGAAAGGCTTAAACCGTGAAAAATAAAGCAAACCCGGCTAGTTATAAATGGTAAAAAAAACCGTATAGTTTTGAATTCATGATTTTTTCAACCATACAAGTTATAGAGAGTTTCAAATTGTAGATATGAAAAAAATGTTCATTTCTCTAAACTTTACGGGTAATTCGATGGACAAAATGCTGTCGATAATTTTTCCAGAATTTTAAAAAGAAAATTCTAACAGTGCAGCATCATTTATATAACACATGCTATTTTTTAATAGAATATTAATGATGGATTATTATTTTTTTTTGCATTCTTTTTCAGAGTCTTCCATTGAAATCAGCAACTGTTCTTTGATAGCAGTGACTGAAACCTCCATTATCATTCATTGCAATTCATCGTCACATAACTCTAAAGAATGTTTTAGTGTAGAAATGCAGTCCGTCCACAACGATGATTTTGTACAAAACTTTACCGTGAAGAATTCTGTCATTGAGCTGATTGGATTGAAATCCAACATTTTTTATGATATAAAAATAGCTGCCTGTGATGATTTTGAGAAGAGGAAAGTTTTTTCCCTTGAAGTATTGACACTGCCAACAGTTTCAACGCGAAAAGAAGCTGCTGGTAAGTTGATAAACATTTAAGACGATTTCTGATTATTGATTATGAAAACCTTTTTCGAACAGTGAAAAATTTATTTAAATCTTTTTTTTTTCAGAAGTTATGAGGATAATGTTGTGAAATTTGTCGTAAAACACCGTTTTAGCAAAATATGACTGCTAAAAATAATGCCTCTTTCTACATCTACAGAATTACCATTAATATACAAAAATGCTGACTTCAAAATTAAATAATATCTAAACATTTTTTTTAAAAGAATTACTGTTAAAAATGCAGAATATATTTCGATAAAGCAGAAATGTTGTATTGTGACCACATTGCAAGCACTGACTAGATTTAAAAATGTTGAGTAATAATTAAAATATCAGAAAGCATAAAAAAGTCCGATCCATGATATTTCAACCACGCCATTTTGAAGCCGTCATTTCGCTCCCGTTGTCATTTCGCTTCCCGTATTTCTGTCCCTTTCCGGTCCAATCCCGTTACTAGTTCGATTCATCTATTTTAATATAGACATTCGATCCCATTTCTTCGTTTTTGATTACAGTGGTACTGTATCAATAGTTCTAAATATGTACATTTTTAATTTATTGAATAATTTAATTTTTTAGAGTAACAGAAAATCAAGAATTTTAGTTGGATATTAATAAGTATTTAAAAATTATTAAAAGGGGAATGAAGATTCCAAACTATTGAAAATTATAAAAGATATGAAGAAATTATGAAGATGATTAATGAAAGATAGCGCACAATTTTTAAATGAATTAGTAAAAAACATTTTTTAAGGTTTAATAACAATGATCTTTTAATGTATTCCATTATTTAAATAATTATGCTAATTAATATGCACTAAGGTATTATTGTAAATTTTTTATAAACAAATAAATAAGGGTTTCTGTGCTAACTACCTCCACGAAATGCAATCTGGAACTTTTTCCAGGAATAATTCCTACTTTGAAAAAAATACGTTTAAAAAGAGACTAAACGTTAACAGCGAAAAATTAAAAAAAATAGAAATAAGGATCATTACAATCACATTGGAATGCTTTGCATGTTTGAAAAAAAATTAAATTTCAATATCAAAAAAATAAAAAGAGAGATGACAAGGAAAGAAACGTTAACAGGATCAAAATGGCTACAATGGGATTGAAATTGCAAAGAGACTGAAATGGCGTTATTGAAACGGCGGGACCAAAACGGCCTGTTTTACCAAAATCACCACACAGCGCACTTTAACTGAATTAATAGGAAGAAAAAAAAAACCATCGAAAATTTAAAATTAACGTTCTTGCCACTGACTCATAAGTTTTTCAAAATCACCACGCAGCGCACTTTAACTGAATTAATAGGAAGAAAAAAAAAACCCATCGAAAATTTAAAATTAACGTTCTTGCCACTGACACATAATTTTTTGGAGCTGATCTTCATGCTAGCTTTACCGACTGACGATGAGTTTTTTGTTACACAACTTTAAATGGTGTTCGATTGAAATAGTTTGATTACAGGAATAGATTTGTGAATATCTACGATGTAAAGAAATTAGTTGGTCACATTCCTCATTTATTTTCACAATCATAGTTCTGTACTCGTTGCTTATACGGAGAAGAAAATTCTATTAAAATTATTATACTTGAATCGAAATGTTTTTTTTTTACTGGTAAAAAAAGCTATTATAATTCTGGTAATAGAATCAAGCCAACGTTGCGTCACGAGATCTTAAGATCTCGTGACGTAACGTTGAATAACGTAAATTTTAGGCTATTAGTTTGAAATAATTAAGTGCCAGCCAAAATTCTTTTAAGAGTTTTTTATTAAAACTTAACAAAACGACATCAAACAAAAGACTGATGAGAAAAGCTATGTATTACTTTGCTATCCTTACAGAATCGCACACTGCGCCATCTATCGTAAGGTAAAATTATTCATTTAATGGAAGGATGATGTAACATCCTCCAACCGCAAAACGTTAAAGTTTAAAATTATCAAAGTTTTAAATAAAAGTTGAATTATTAAGTTTAGAAATATGAAGCAAAATTATTACAAATTATTACAAATTATTAAATATATATCGAAAAGGATAAAGAGTTTCAAAGTATATTAAAACAAAATTGATGATTAATGTTTAACAGGTTTGACTGTTGATCTTAGAGTTTTATTTACAATACCTGTTGTTTCTAAGCGAAATAATTGTTGAAATGGTTGAACTATTTCACCATTTTGAGTTTTAACCTCTGCAACTCGGGAAACACCATCACGTCCTTTAGCCTGTTTAGAACCAGTCTATATATCTCCCACTTTAAGTGGGGTTTGATAAGAGTGGCTGGATTGCTTAAGAAGCGAAATATATTTCTTTTAGAAACGTGTTTTTAGTTTTTGTTTAACGGAGAGAAGATGTTTTGCACGTTTGCGAAGATTCTGCATATCATTCTGATCGAGATCATCAAAACAGATCTCAGTCTGATCCTGTAAAAAGAGAAAAGGAGTTAATGGCACTAAGATCTGATGGTTCTTCGGAGAGGTAAGTAAGAGTTCTACCATTAAGTAGAGCTTCAAATTCACACACAACGGTGTACAGTTCTTCGTAGTTAAGACACACTTTTCCTAAATTGCGTCTCAACAATTCCTTTAACATTCTTACCACCCTCTCCTACCAACCCCCACCAAGCAGCAGTAGGTGGGTTGAAATGCCAGATTTTTTCTCAATTCTGGGTAAGCAATGAGAACATTCCAGTCCATATATTTCAGTTCGCTGTTTGCACCATCAAAGTTTGTGCCATTATCTGAATAGATTGATTTTACTCGACCTCGACGGGAAATGAATCGTCTCAATGCGAGAAGGAAACTTTGTGTGGAGATGTCCGAAACAAGTTCGAAATGTACCGCACGGTACGCAGCACACGTGAAGATTGCAATCCAAACTTTGTCACAATTTCGCAGAACCAAAGGACCAGCTAAATCTACTCCAGTTGTTTCGAACACTGCTGATATTCGCACACATTCTTCCGGAAGAAGAGCGAACATCGTCGTCGCAGATTTGAATTTAAATCTTTGGCAAATTACACATTTGGAAACAACTGATCGCAAAATCCAGTACTTTCCACGAAGGGTTGTGACAAATGTTTGTACACCTACATGGCTGTAGGTCCGATGAGTCTCTTCTATGAGTTTGAAAACTAGTTCATTTCTGTTTAGCAACAGGATAGGACGTTTGAAAAAATCCCATCACCAGTCGAGACAAGTTTTGTCTCAACTCTTAGAAGACCACTAGAGTCGCGGTGAATGATAAAATTTGGTGGTATCAATCGACGATTTTTCCAAAATGAGTTATTTCGTATGAAAACGAGTATATCGTGCTCAGATTTGGTGAACTCTTCTTCTTTTAAGTTTCCATTCAAGAAGGATTCATTATGTTTATTTACTACTGATTTAGCATTTAAGATAAATCGTTCAACATAGAAAAAAATTCAAACAATTGTAGAAAATTTTGAAATTCCCTTAGTCCGTTCGAAAAAATTAGGTTCAGAATTACCTAAAGAAAGATTCGTCGTAACTGTTGGTTTTTTCTCCACGGTAGCAAGCTCTAAGGCGAATGAGAAATCAGCATTGTGAGTGTTTGGCCTAGAGTCTCGATTTTTTTAACCATGACCCTCTCCCCAACAAAGACTGAAAAGAGTTTGTGCATTGCACCCACTGGAAGCGATGTCCGCTGCCTTCATTTGAGATGGGATATAACACCAATTTTCTTTAGATGAATTCAAGTGAATTTCTTGTATTCGGTTGTTCACAAAAGTTTTCCATGTTCCGGGATTTTTGATCCAGCAACGAACCACTTTAGAGTCAGTCCAATAGAAGATTTCGATATCAGAAATGTTTAATGAAGTTTTGACTGTCTGAACAAGACGAGTACCCATAAGTGCAGCTAAAAGTTCTAATTTTTGAAGAGACATTTCAGTTTTGATTTTGGTGATGGGATCCTTTTTTAGAGGAGCGACACGTGATTTTGCCTGCACTAATTTAATTTGAGCCTCTTTTTTGCATACAAATCGCAAAAATACGCACGCCGCGAAGGCTTTCCCTCTAGCGTCACTAAACATGTGAATAGTAGTAGTTGATTCATTAATTAATCCCCCAAAATAACGGGGAATGTGAAATAATTTTAAAATTCCTAAGCCAGATAGCCAGATTTTAAATTCCGCCACTATTTTATATGGAAGTTTATGATCCCATCCCAACCTATCATTTTTCCATGCTCTTTGCATTAGAAGCTTAGGAATGAGCGTCACGGGTGCGGTAAAACCGATTGGTTCAAATATTTTTTGTGAAATCGACAAAAGTTGCAGTTTCGTACATTTGTTATATACTTCAGTTGTGACGCTGCTAATATCACATGTTATTGTATCTGAATTGGGTTGCCATAAAAGACCGAGAACAGGAGAATATCTAAATTCCTTTAAATCTAGATATTGTTTTTTCACCCTGTGAGGAAGAAACCCAACCCGTAAGCTCAAACCCTGCTTGAGACATAATTTGATAAGCTGTCTTTGAAAATCGCTCTAATTCCAATTTGTTTTCAACGCTTGTTACTACATTTTCAACGTAAAATGCATCTTTCAATTTCACAGCGATATCATTTTCAGTTTCCTTAATTTTATCCAAATGGTGATAAATTGTTGCCATGAGCAAAAACGGACTGGATGTAAGGCCGAATACCACTCTGCAATGCTTGTTTATCTTAATTTTGAGTTTTTCAAAATGTTCCCACCAAAGAAAGCGACGAAAATCTCTACCAGAAGGGGACACGCTTATTTGCAGGAATGCTTTGCGGATGTCGGAAATTACGCCAATTTTTTCTTTGCGAAACTTATTTAGAACGAAAGGAATCAATTCAATATAATTTGGATCTGTAGCTATACATTGATTTAAGGAAACGGAATTTTCGTCTTTCGAGGAAGCATCAAAGCGTATTTTAGTTGTTAAACTAGACTCTCTATAAACAGCTCTGT